AGCGGAGACCACCGCACTGGGATCCCGCCGCCGCTGCACCCTCGCCAAGCCCGCCGCCGCAACCCCTAATTAGTACATGTAAGGTTCCCGCATCCTCTTGGCTGTTTCATCGCTCCCGGTGTTTGCAGGGGCTTTTCCTCTATTCCTTCTCTTGATGCGGCGCACGATCGTCATTATTTGGGATTCTCTATCTCCGACATCCTTGGGGGTCCGCAGGGAGGTGGGGGGCAGGAACAACGTTGTTCTAAGCCTGTGGCGTGTCCCGGCAGCCCGGCGGCTCAGAAAAACTTAGAGAAAGTCGCGTCTTCCCTCCCCGGCGGTGAGGAGGTGGCTACGCGGTAAGCAGCGCAGGGGTCTCTGAGACATCTGCTTCGGCGCGGGCGCAGGGCCCCATGCAGTGCACTTGTTTATTGTCGCGCCACCGGTGCGAGCCAAGCTGCAGCAGACATGATGGGCCCGGGGCGAAGCGGGCGCTCCGTGGCCGATAGATGGCAGCCGAGAGCGAAGGCGTCCCTGGGCCCCGGCGGCGCAACCGGAGCGCCCCCCACCCTTGGATGTCACATTCGTGGGAGACAGAGGACTCTTGGACCATGTGCGTAACTCTAGCGTGGGACGGTGCAATCCTCGGATTGAAGAAGGGAGGGGTGGAAATAACCCCGACAGTGTCAGGCTTGTTGGTTGTCAGGGACAGAGGATTCCAGCCCTGGGCTGATCGTCTGCCTTCCACCTCCCATTTAGACTAACACAGCCCGTGCTGCTGTCTCTTGTACTTACTGTAAAGGACCCTGGAAGAGGGAGTGGTTCATCCTAGCTGCAAACAAGGGCGCTATTTTTTTTTCTTAAGAATTACGTTTTATAAGTATGTTTGGGCGATACAAGGGAATGTGAACGACTTTCAGAGAGATTGTGAACGTATTTGGTGTGTACTAGAAAGCTGGAAATCCCTAAATAAATGCAGTAACGGTAGAAAGCAAGTTTCTTGAAGAGTCACCTGCTAAACTCCACTAGCGTCATCTCTACAGTAAGTATTCCTGGCTCTTTCCATGCAACCAGACACCTCCCTCCCCCCAAAAAGGGTCTTTACATTCAAAAGTCATATTTCCAGTGTTTGTAATATTTGAGCTGCAGTTCATCCCAGGTATAGAAAAAAAGTTGATTGTTATAAGTGGCCCAATGCAGGCTGAGTGCACATGTGCCTGTTCCTTTGATAACTGGGTGGTTTTACCACTTACATGTATTTTATCCATTTAATTTTGGAATTAATTATATAGTATCTTTTGGAGTCGTCTTAAACATAATTGATACTGTGTCTTTCTTGGTAATATTTGGGGTAACACTGTGGTTATAATATCCTGATTAAATACAAAATTAATATAAATTCTGATATATATGTATATACATATAGCCACTAACATATCTTTCCACATCTATGTTGAGTTAGAAAGAGTTTTCTAGAGGTGGTGAATTTTGCAGTCTCCTGAGGTTTTGCAACATATCTTGAAATTTCTCCTGAATCTATTCTGCAAATATTTTTTAGTAAGGTCATTCATACTTGGCTTGGAAACAATTCTGTTTATTTTGCTTAAATTTGGGGTAAGTGTAAGTGAGGGAAAAAAAGCAATTGGTAATATCATATAATTAAAAAGAAAATATTATAATAGAACTTCCTGTTAAATTTAGAAACATTTGGCCTAGGAATGATAGCCACTTGCTACAGGTACATTATATAAACAGGTAACTTAAACTTCACCCAAAAAAGGCTTGTTGCTGTATTTTTTAATTTAGTCAATATCTTCTAACATTTTAGATATTTATTTTTTGATAAATGCTTTTATATTTTCAAAATGAAAGTTTTAAAGTGTCATAATTTTCAAATTACATATTAATTACAGTTAGAAACTTTTGGAATATAAATGTTCAGTTCTATCACAGACACATTTTTTTCGATGTTGATAACCTCTGTAGAAGTTCTCAAAGGGTATAAAATAGCTTATCTAATTATTGGACTACTAAAGATAACTGAAACATAGTTATTTTAGTTCATTCTTCTATTACTTTCCTAAATCTTCACAATTGGATTTAATAGCAAATTTTAGTTTAATTTTTGTTTTTGTCTTATTTTTACTTTATTATCCTAATTAAAATACATTTTGTTGAGCTAAGAAACACTAAACATGTTTGCAATTAACGTAGGTAATAATTTTGTTACAACCACCGACACAAAATATTCCAGTTTACCTCTTGTTGTTCAAATAAATAAATGACAACTTTCTGCCATTAACTCAATATTAAGGATGGCCTGAGAAGTCGCCGTTAGTTTACCACTAGGTGTCTCTATAAGCTACTCTGCAGGAAAGGGAATTTTGAGAAAATACTGAGACAGGAAGAGATAAGAACAGAAGAATGGGGAAGGAAAACATCATAGAAATAAGGAAGAGCCTCATTTATTAGTGTGTAGATTCCTATTTGCTTTGAGTGTTGACTATTGCCTAGAAAATAAATAAATAAATCATGTAACTGATCAAATATGAGCAAGATTTTTATCTAAAGGAACAGACATATTCATGTTTTAATCTATATTCAACAATATACAGTCATATGATATGTGTACATGCTACCACACAACACTCAAGCGCACGCATATGATTACATAAACACACTTAGGAACTAGAAAATTAAATGTCTGATCAAATACACCTCTCCAGATTTAAGGTCATTGACACTAAATTAAACATTATTTGATTGAGGTGGGTGTGAAAAGCTGAGAATCTTTGAATGTTTATGAATGTATTTATGCATGTCATAATTAGCTCATGATTTAGTGTCATTATAAATACATTTCATATGTGGTAATATATTTGTCAATAATTAGTGCAAATTATGGACATAATTTGATACCTGCCTATTAAAATTTAAATTCAAACCACAATTAGCATATTTGTCACTTGAAACTGACCATACATTTTTGTGAATTCATATTTATTATTACCTGGAATTATTGTTTCAGTGCCTTACGGACTCTGAAGGAATTCTTATGTTAAAAGCATCTCTTAAAATAGCTCATCATATTACATTTGTGTATCACTGTGTGGGTTCTTCAGAATAGTAAAATGCTTAGTCAGGAATTATAGTCCCTCATGCAGCAGTCTAACAGAGATTATAAACAAGGAAGTTCTCTGGTAATAATTATGAGATTTTATGAGTACAAATCAACATCATTGAGATCTAAAGCCAGTAGACCTCGTATTTTGTTGTTGTCAGCCTGACTGGTGAGTTAGGATTACAGAATTCTAATGCTAGATTCCAGACTCCTCCCAAATTAGCTTGAATAGATTACTTGCGTTATGGTAATGGCTAAGAAGACTATATTACCTTATTTAATAAATGAAAATATTTTCAGATTTAAGTTATATTTTTTTAATAGTGTTTGTTTATTTTTATTGTTGACAGGTTTGCTTTATTTATTTATTTATTTATGGCTGTGTTGGGTCTTCGTTTCTGTGTGAGAGCTTTCTCTAGTTGTGGCAAGCGGGGGCCACTCTTCATCACGGTGCGCGGGCCTCTCACTGTCGCGACCTCTCTTGCTGTGGAGCACAGGCTCCAGACGCGCAGGCTCAGTAATTGTGGCTCACGGGCCCAGCTGCTCGGCGGCATGTGGGATCTTCCCAGACCAGGGCTCGAACCCGTGTCCCCTGCATTGGCAGGCAGATTCTCAACCACTGCACCACCAGGGAAGCCCTAAGTTATATTTTTAATGTCTTTGAAATTGAAATTACATATACCACATATCCCTGAAAGGAGAAAAGTTTCTCCTGGAGGTGAAAACATGAGTCATCATTTATGATTGTTTCTCTATGCAATTGCTAAACTAACTAACTGTATAGCATATGTTTTTGATTAGTTTGATACTTTTAGAATTACAGCAGTTAAATATATCATGCAGTGATATTTGTCAAATCCGAAATGGCTGGCTAAACTAATTTTACCAAGATTATTTATTCACTTATAGGCTTAGCTATTTACAGTCTTAGGAATACGCTCTCAGAGGCAT